GTAGCAAATAAATTCCTAGCATGTGATGATGCAACACGTGAAATAATGAGTAATTTATTTTGATTAATAATTATAAAAAAAAAAACAATTTCTCTCTATTTTTTTTAAAGACAAATTTATCCATAACCTTTTATTTGAGTTTTACCTACTTTCTTAGCATACTCTATTTGACTTGTGTAATTCCAATTTATAAAGAATGTAAACAATTAATGATTAAGTGCAGTTTAGTCCTCTTATTTTTGAAAATGTCACTGAAATAAACAACCGTGTTACATGCCTTCTCTATCACTATAAATAAGTTCTAATTTTATACCTTCCTTCCTATCACTTCTATCCCAGCTCAAGCTCTTAAACCATTCCCTTTATCCCCGCCATCACCATGGACAAAACCTTCCTAAAACTCCCCTCCACTTTCTTCCTTCTCTTTGTTATTCTCTCCTCCACCACTACTGCCACCACCGCAAAACCTCACCGCTTCTCCAAACAACTACCACCGGCAACACTAGGCCTCAAGCGAGAGAAACTGAGCCACCTACACTTTTACTTCCACGACATCCTTAGTGGCCGAAACCCCACTGCCGTCAAAGTGGCCAGCGCCCCCTTGACAAACAGATCCGCCACTGTCTTTGGTCAAGTCATGATGATGGACGACCCTCTAACCGTGGGCCCTGAGCTCACCTCCAAACTCGTGGGAAGAGCACAGGGAATCTACGCCTCCGCATCACAGACTGAAGTGGGGTTTTTAATGGTGCTCAATTTTGCGTTCATGGAAGGCAAGTATAATGGGAGCAATCTTAGCGTCTTGGGACGGAATGCGGCGTTCTCCGCCATGAGAGAGATGCCGATTGTTGGCGGAAGTGGGGTTTTCCGGTTTGCACGTGGGTATGCTCAGGCTAGGACTCACATGCTTGACTTCAAAACTGGGGATGCCGTTGTGGAGTATAATGTATATGTGTTCCATTATTGAGTGAAAAAAAAATTAATAGGTGGCCCAAGAAAGTACCATAGGGCAATGTTCCTGCCACTGTTTGTCATCGTCATATTAAATATATTTTCTTTTGTCTGATTTTGTTCTCTTTTGAAGAGTGTACCATTTTGGGATGGGAGGAAAGAGTTTTTTAAGATGGTGGTAAAATTTAAAATTTTGATCATCTCAACTAAATATTTTAAAATTTGGAATCGAACCATTAGATTTAAACACATTCAATTTTGTTTTCTTTTGACTTTTGCATGTTGTTTAATTTTATATGTTAATTTTTATATTAATTTAATATATGTAATTAATTTATTAAGTATTATATAA